CTGGAAAATCTAGCCTATGGTTTTGGAAGCGAAAACTGTCATATTTGTTTACCACAGGCAACTGAATTAAAATGTATTTGAAAAAAACAACAACCCAACAACCAACAAAGGCACTAAGTAGACTAACAATAACAAGCATTTGAGTCAATTTGACACAGTTTGGACTTGGTGACTAAAAATCCAGTGTTTGTTGCAAGCTGGTGTCGTATAAAAAGATTTCTTTCACTTTAAACTTGTACACCGATGTACAGCGCGCGCAGTATTGGATCAGGGAGGCAACACCTTTGCAGCTGTAGGCCTACTTGGCACTCCTGTACAATTGCGGTCCCGTTTGCACTCGAATTTCAGCCGTTTTCAATGACAACTCGGCGCGCTAACGTCCCGATGCCCGATCGACACTTTGTTGCTCCACAATAAACAAAGTGAAACTAGCGATAGGCCTAGAAGAACGGAAACAGAAAGCTACGGGCGGACGGACATGCGCAAACCGCGTTTTCGTCTCTCTCCCCGTTCGGTGTTTTTCGTGCGTAAAAAAGTATCGCAATTTGCGATCGAGAGCGGTCCAGCGGAGGAAGGAGGAAAGTAGCGGGAAAAGCTAGATGAAGTGGAGTTTCCGCTATTAAGCGGAAAAGTGGCAGCTATGAGTAAGGAAAATTCTGCAGGGGGTCTGGGACCCCCAGCAGAGTCCAGGGACAGCGTCCCGGTGGGTGTACAGGGGGCAAAGCCCCCCCCCCCCGAAGAAATTGAAATTTAGTGCTTTTAGAGGGTTAAAAATGGCATTTGGGAGCCCGTTTGAAGAGATTGCCTACAGCCCATAACATTTATTTTTTCACCAACATTTTGTCTTGTTTGATTTTTTCACCTGCATATCTTTTCATTGCTGGCAATGTTTAAAAGCAGGTTCCCCTTTCATTGCTACTATAATTCAATTAATTTGTCGTCGCACCATTGATAGCAGGCAAACCTGGGATTAATGAATAGATGAACCTTAAAAAAAAACAGTTGCGCAGCGTATGCCCACATTTTCTCCCGGCTCACGCCCTTTATATATGGCCTGCGCGCAGGCCCTATATAAAGGGCGTGAGAAGCGCGCAGGCCCTACATAAAGGGCGTGAACCGGGCTACCCGGGAAGCGCGCAGGCCCTATATATAGGGCTGACCCTTTTCAATGGAAAATTCTAGTGTTCCTTATATGGAAAATGACGTAGTCAATTACAGGCCAAAGTTATAAATAGTGACCAATGACTTTGCAAGTTACCTTGACCTCGTAGAGCGTCTCTTGGCCGAGATATCGATAAAGTGACGCGGTCCCGCTGAGCGACTACACGCTAGATCTATGTGTTATCACTTGTTTCGCCGTGCTGATGTGCTAATTGTTGAGTCTATCGCGTTCTCGGCATTGTTTGTATTTGTTTGATGGCTGATCATTTTTGAATGGCTCATTCTATCAGCTTAAAGAAAATATATGCTTTTTATCATCTGTTGAGCCGTAAATGGTCATTTTTCAGTAGCAGGTATACATTTCGGGTATCTCAGCTGTTTCCCCCCCGCCAAACCCCCATGTTTACAACTGATCGGCAGTGGCGGCGGGGCATTTTTGGCGGGTTACTTCCGGTGAAACGCTGAGCGCTTCTAGGGTAACAACACCATGGGGGGGGGGGGTCAGGGCATGCCCCCCTGACCTAAAAAGAAACTGGGGGGTTTCAGGGGGGCATGATTTCACAATGATTTGATGTTTTGGCAATTAGGATTGATATTTACATGAAAACAATTGATTGGTAAATTTTTACTTTCACTCCCGCACACAGATGCACTGTTTCAGGGGCCAAACTGCTGTACTGTTTGCTGCAGATCACACATAAAGCCACTAAAACTGTCGCAAATCAATTATTTTCAAGACAATTTCAAACCTAACTGTAAAATATCAAATTATGGGTAAAAACAGGGGGGCATGCCCCCCTTTAACCCACCAGATTTTTTTTTACCCCAGTGGGGCAAGCCCCCCTGGAACCCCCTGATTGGTCCAAAGCATGTCTATCTCGGTTAAAAACAATCAAATATTTCAAAAACTATTAATTTGCGACGGAAATGAAGTTGATATTCGTGTTCGGCGCATCAATATTTAGTACAAAATAGGCATCTGGTCGCTGAGCGTGAGACGGGAGGGAAAGTAAAAAAATACCAATTGATTTGCAAGGGTTTTAGTGGCCATACGTGTGTGTTCTGCAGCAAAGATAATGGCAGTTTAGCCTTCATATCAGTGCATCTCAGCCATCTGTGTGTTGGTGTTAAAGTAAAAATTTACCGAATCTAGACTCTAGTGTAGTCGCATGTCTTATTTACAATGTTTCTAGAAAGTGTCTATTCTCACCCGCCCGGAAGTTCTCGCAAGATCAACTCCTCCCCTCTTCTCTCTCTCTCTGAATACTGTCTATCGGTGTGGACGATCAAATTGACCAAAACAAAGTTAAAAAATGATGTTAAAACACAAAAGTAAATTAATTTGGTTGTCTACAAAGATGCTACGGCTATTTAACTTTTCGAATCGAGCCGAACTACGCGGGTCGCCATTTTGTTTTGCCCGGAAATTCTCGTGTTACTTAGCAATGACAATGAAAAATTAAATTTTCATCCAAATTGCTTAAAAATGGACTTAAAAATGAAAATAGAGTAAATTCTAAGAACTATGGTTTTTAAAAATTAAAAATCCATTGATAAATAAAAAAGTTATTGGGATTTTTGTTTGCAAAATGTTGGAGGACCTTCATATAGATCTAGGAAAAAATCGCCAAAATGTGGGACATGTTTTGATGTATTTTGAGGAAAAACTGTTCATAAGTCAGTAATGAATTGGAGCATATGAATGAAACTTGGCATCTCCATGTGATTTTTAGTGCCGAATCTAGATCTAGATCTAGTTCTGCTATCACTTTTTGGATGTCTTCATTACTTTGGACCTTAAAGACTGATATTTGCGTGAAATTTGTTGAATTGCGTGACATCGTTTTTACCGCGACGCGATCACTCCTTCTAAAACTCAGTAAAGCGCTATCGGGAAAACCCGCGATGTAGTCATCGGTGACCCATTTGGTTATAGGCAGCCAATCACATGCCGCCTAGCGATCACGCGCCTCTTGCGTGCCGGCACCTCGCGTTTGGAATGCGCTATCAAGTTTCTAGATCTAGGGTTTTATCAATGGACGGGTGGTAATTTTAAGTTGTTACGGAAAATCTACTAAACGCAGAGATCTGAAATTTTACAGCAATAAAGAAGACATGTGGGGCGCTTGTGTGGTCGGCGATCAACCCGCAGCTCCGCTTAGTTTTCGAACCGCAGAGGAAATTCGCACAAACACGGCAATATCTCCGGTTCTAATATCTAGAGTACATCCTGTGGTGCGATATACAGTAAGCGATCTTTTGTGGATATCTCTGGAAGTTACAGGTCGATCTTCATGATTTTTTCACCAGAAGTTAGAAAAACTTCCTCTCTATACGGTGTAGCGCATTACTGTAACAGCAGTTTAAAATTTCTATATGTTGTGGTGGTGTTTGTTTGGTAACGTGTGTCTGGTTTGGTGCGCAAGGTTTCTGGTTTGGTGCAACATATCGTCTTGTTTGGTGCGCAATAGTACCATGTTTACAGCTCTAGATCTAGATCTAGCTCTTTTCTGACACTTTTCATCTTTCTCTATCCTTGCTTTGTCTTCTTTTCCTTGCAAGAAGTTCCTGTACTGACCATAATGGAAGGCCAAGGTCAATTAGGCGTGTTCTTTTTGGGAGCTGTGCGCCCCCTGACAGGAGATTTCCTTACACCTTGTGTATGTGTTTTGATAATGGATAAAAAGAAAGGTGCTGTGGACACAAGAAGGGGAAAGAAGAAAACAAGAATAAGACTATACCTAGACTAGTATTTTAGAAGGAAAAGGACAAAAAAGAAGAAGAAAAAGACGTGAAAAGAAGAAATTGAAAAAGAAAGGTGCTGTGGACACAAGGAAGTGAAAGAAGAAAACAAGAATTAGACTATACCTAGACTAGAGTGCATTGCTACTTACCGGCCGCCTAAGGGCCACTTTCGGCTTATAACCGGAAGCATGTGGTTAAACCTTGATATCAACCACAAATTGAAACCCACGTCGTAAAAAGATGTCACAGAGTGATCTCCCTTCTTTGACCGGTACTAGGCAACTGCCAGATTAATCCATTTGGTATATGTTTACTCGATAAGACATCACTTTTGGTGAGACTCCGAGTTGCCCTTTTCCGGCCGCCTATTCGACTATTTGCCTCTTACCGGCCACCAGTTTCCCTGATACCGGCCACCAGTAAAACTCACGCTATAACATCGTTATTTTGAGTTTTTTTGTGTTTTCCCTTTTCAACACAATAAATCAACATCTAGTTAA